CGCAGACATGACGGAATCAAATCATCTGAATCGTCTCTCCTTGCGCCTGCCCAGAGAAGTCACAATTGCTTAGCACGTATCGAGTAAGCAATCAAGCTCATCAATTTCGATGCTCTCAGCGCCGCGGTCCCACTCCATGAGCTTGCTAAACTTGAGCCAGCTCTCACCATCGTCCTCTTTTCGCAAACTGGATGCCGTGTTTGACATGGAGCTAGGCTTAACGGCGGGGCTGGTAAGGAGGGCATTTGAGGTGAAGATGCGATGGTCGCCGAACCAGAAGTCGTCGCGGTACCCATACTCTGAAGTGTGGGTAGTGCGATCAGAGGACTCAGCAACAGGGATGTCCTCGGCGAACTTGCGTTTCTGCAGGAAGTCCGCCGTTTGTGTAAATTCCCGCTCATCTTTTTCCAGAGGCGGTGAGTTGTGACGGCTATTGCGACGGTTTGGCACGTAGCGGTGATGAGAGGGAAGAGAGCCGATGGGTGTGAGAGGCATGATAACATCATCGTCGCCTTCCTCGAATCCATGGTCCGAAAGGTCAACCTCAGGCGATGGGCTGAGTTCCCGCCGGCGAGCATCGTCATCGGAGCCGGAATCATCCGTCAGAGACACCGAAGGAGTTTCGAGGGCGGCATGAGCAGACACTGTGGAGTTGGGTTCGGGAATGGGCTGACGAGGACAGGTGGTGAGGAAATAATAGGTCCTTCGAGGGTGGACGCTCTCAAGTTCCTTGGCGAGAGGGCATGGTTTTGTGTCACTCCAGCATTGTCGCTTAGCATATGAGGCCAGCCTTGAAGAGATGATCGCGCAAGGGTTGGCAGAACTGGGATTGGAATGTTAGCGCACGAGAGCTGAGGGGTTGGAGGGGATAGCAGGTGGCTTAAACTTACTGTTGAACAGAGGTGAGACGTTGTGCCAGAACGGTAGCGAGCTCCTTGACGAGGTGAGGACGGTTTCCAGTTGACTGCAATTGAACGATAACTGCCTCGACAATGTCGTCGTTGATGGTATCGAAGTCAATGGCGGACTGGTTTGTATCAAGGTCGAGGCTTGAGCCTGGTGTAGGTGAAGGAGGAGGTGTCTGCTCGATGGCAATGTCATCGGAATGCGATCGCTTCTGTCGCTTATTGGGATGCGCTTCGGGGGCCTCGGAGCCAGACGAGGATGGTGACAAGGCGGAGGAAGCAGCACTTGATGAAGACGAAGACGATCTTGAAGCGTTCTTGGAAGCAGCAGCAGCAGCAGCTCGGGCAGCATGTGTCATTGGGACATGAATCCCAAGGCTGGGTAAAGAAAGCGACTTTCGGCGCGTGTTGTAAGGCATGGCGACTGTGTTGAATCGAGACGGGGGACAATATTGGACAAGAGTAGAGCTGTCTACAAGATGATGGACTGTCGACTTGGGAGACAGGTCAAGGTCACCAGAACTTCGCTGAGCAATTGTACGTAGTAGTAACCTCAAGAGTTGAAACAGATCCGAGAGATCTATAAGGGTCTACTGTATTGATTGATCTAGCGAGGGCACGGCAACAGACAGACTGGTGATGCAGTTTATGTGCACAGGCAGCGAGGCGAGGCAAGACAAGGTATGGAAGATGGATGGATGGATGGATGGATGAAGGAGGAGGGGAGAGATAGATAGATAGTCGAAGGGGGTGGGAGTGTTTGGTTTGTTATTGAGACGAGTGGGTTTAGATTTAGACTGGAGAGTTGAAGCCGAGGGTGGAGGCGGTCTACGGATGTTGACGACACAGACAGAGCAGGAAGGAGCAAAGACGACGGGACGTAGGCAAGAGCAAGGGAGCAACGATGGCAACGATGGCAACCACGAGGAAGGGGATTAGATGGGGGGGCAAAGGTGGGCAAAGAGGGACTGCAGGTGCTGGGGAAAGCACCTCAGAAATGGGGAGCTAGCTCAGAAGGGACCTTTCCATGATTCAATTCTTGTAAGCTGATAGGTCCGGAGACAAGATGCTTGTCTCCATCGACTGACTTCACTTACAAAAGAAGGAGCGATTATCCTTAGGATGACGGGAAAGAATGGCGCTTGGTGTTGGGTCTGCCACACTTTTTTTTTTTTTTTTTTTTGCAGACGCAGCGGAAAGAGCACGAGAGCTTGAACTTTTTTTCTTTTTTTTTCTCGTTTCAGCCAAACTCGATTGGTCAAGACTGGCGTGCATGGCTGCCGAGAAGTGGATCACGCTAAAGATCGGTGGGTCAAGCAACAGTGGGTATCTGGGAGTATCCTTGTAATTCATGTCTCCAGCCGCAAGACCCAAATGTGAAAAACGACTGACCCCGACTGACAACACTTTTTTTTTTCCTCATTGCTTTTGCTTGGGTGGTATTGGTGTCCATTATCTAAGTGTGAGGGAGGGGTTCCGTAGGTAAGCATAAAGTGTTGGTTGGTATGCAACTGGAGAGAAATATGACTCTTTTAGCAGGCAACAAGCAGCCATTTCAGCCTTTCTGTACCAATAATCAACCATTATTCCTAGGCATACACAGTACTGTACATTATCGATGATGTCCTACTCCGTACACCAGGAGGCAACGGAACTTACGCAACCAAGCAGGCAAAGAGCATCGGCTCGGAGACCTTAATCATCGAACTTACTCTGTACAGTTTAGCCATCTTGACTCGTCAACGTCTTCTGTTTCTTTTCTGCTTCTGGTCTAGCTGCACTGCGGCGACTGTAATTGGGCCACTGTGACAGCCTCTCACTGATAGCCTCGCCTCGTTGATGATGGAATGATGGAGTCTTGTTTTTCCGCCTCATCCGCGGTTTTTTTGGACCCGGGCCACTTCGGGTCGATGTTTGTTAATAAGTAGTCGGTTAGTGCGTTCTCGGAGGACCCTGAAATCTTTTTTTGGGGAACGCCCGAGAATGACCGTGGATTTGAGCTCAGGTATCGACAGGCATTGCATTGGATGGCTAATACAATACGTTGAACTGCGTGTCACGATATTAGGTACCCTGGACGTGACTTTTTTCCCCTACAGATCACACCGCATCTGCAACTGCATCAGACTGCATCAAGACTGCATCAAGACTGCATACACATTTACTCCGTGCAACCATATTCTTACACCGCATTCTCTCTCGACACGCTTATGCTGTACGAGACAATCAATCAATGCATAACAAGCGTGGGATAATCGGAAAAGAGGCCCGGTGTAATTCCTACTTAATCTCGTCCTCGGTACTCCGTACATACAGAATACTGTGAGCAAGTTACGTACCCATATTGAAAGTCGATGGAGATGACGAGTGGGCCGAATCATCAAAGAGTCTCCCCAAGACCGCGGCGAGGCCCTCTTTTGAATCTCGAACCCCTGGTCTGGCGCCTTCAAAGGGTCTCCATTCACCCGTCGCCCATGGCAATTCAACAAGTGACCTATTTCCTAAAATTGACGGTAATAACTGTGTCTGAGGCCGAGTCCAAGGCTAGCTAGCAAACGATGTGTAAGGTATGTGACACTGCACTCTTCAATGAGGGACAGTATCGGACTCGGCAGCCAATAGCGACATTTCTATTTCATCATCTCTCTTCTGCTCACGATACATGCAGTGGGTTTCAGTCCGCTGTCACCGGCCGAGGCTTTCTTTCTCCCATGACTTGCAGTTTGCCGTAGTCTCGTCTTTCTTGTAAGTGAGCGGGTGAGAACATAAAATGCTACGCAGCAATACGATGTCCGATTTTTGCTTTGTTTGTCATAATCCCATGTTCACTGTCTTATGTATACTATTGATCTTGATTACCGACATTCGATTGCGATATCCTGCCCTTGCAAATGTAACTTTGACCACCTCACCTCGCCCAATGTCTCTCAGCCTACTGAACCCCCTGAACTAGATCTGGTCAGATCCCACCACCAGCCTCCATCCAATTCTCTTACATGACTTACGCAGCATCCATTTATTATCCACCACTAGCAATTCCAGCAGCTCGGTGTGCAGATGCTGCGTCATCTCTCGAATGCACGAATCGCCTCCTGATGATCCAACCTGTCGAGGATCACCATGTGGATTACCCTACACTGACCTGACTGAAGAGTACATACGGATAGAGAACGGTTGCATGTCACTTCAGAGGTGCATGCCACGAGGTGGAACATCCAATGATGCATCTCTAGCTCTGCCCCTTGCGGCGCCAGCTGCGACAAGCGTCTGCCGCTAACATGGATGCTCTCCACTTACGCCTAGACCTTGCCCAAGCTTCTCCTTGCCTTGATCACAGCCGTGACCGGGTTAATTCCCTGTTCAACATCGTTCGATGGGCTTGCTTGACCTGTGCTGTTGTAATTGCCGGTCACGTTATGCTGTAAGTCAAGTAAACGCCGTCTCTCAAAGCCAGAATCTGCCTCTATATATTCCTTGATGAACCATGCTCACGTCCTCTCCGCCATGAAGTCATGGTAAGACTTAGGCTGTAGATCGCTCGAAAACCAGCCTACGAAAAGCCTCTCTCCCATTTCCTTGCAAGTCCCGTCGTTCGTCGAACTCTTCGTGTCTTGGCGCCTTGCAGACCTCGTACTCCTTGCCTCAGGCCGCCGCAGCCGTCTTGTCGGGCAGGTCGAGGACAACGCTAAGGAATCCTTATTATATGATTGGTCAATTGAAGATCCCCGCCTTTGCTCCGCTTCACGCTTCCTCAGACTTGTGCCTTACCTAAGTGCAATGGATATGCCGAAGACAGCCAACCTATCCACCATGAAGGGGGGAGATTGCCCTACCCTATACCCAGCCCCTACCCTCAACTCAAGGGACCCTCGAGTCATTTTTTACTTTTCCATCCTGTCAATCGACCCCACCCCACCACAATCTTCCCCCTCCATCATCGTCATACTTTTACCAACCACCAAAGCCAGCTCCTGTTATCGAGATTCACAAGCTCAAGCCGTCTACTGTTCCTGTGTCTGCCTCGTACCTAATCTATCAGATCTGCTTGGTCATACCGAAAGTTACTTCACAGCTGAAAGCCACCAAAGCTTAACCATGGAGCTTCCCTTTGTTACTCTCGACGTCTTCACAAACACTCGATATCGAGGAAACCCCCTTGCCGTTGTCACGATTCCCGCAGATAGAACTGTACCAGAGCCTACGCAAGAGCAAAAACAAAGAATTGCCCTGGAATTCAATCTATCAGAAACCGTTTTTATCCACGAACCCCGTCCTGATACCGATGTCGACAGTGATGTCACCCGCCGAGTGATCGACATTTTTACAGTCGGCACAGAGATCCCCTTTGCTGGGCACCCAACTATCGGCGCCGCTGTTACCCTCATCCCCCACGGTGTCGATACCGTCGTTACCAAGGCAGGCCCAATTTCTCTCACACAGACCCGCCCTGGTTATATCCAAGCTGCTATCCCGCACAATGTTCGTCGTCACAGGAAGACTCTTGCCGATCTGTCTGCCCCGGTCGCTGCCCAAATATCCCAGGACCCTGCGATACGCGAATCCGAGCTTCGGGCCCCGCTATTCAGTATCGTCAATGGCATGACCTTTGCGCTCATCAAACTCCCGGATCTCGAGCATCTAGCCAAAGTTGAGATGAGCGGGGTAAACTTGTCTGTGGACGAACTGCTTGACGATGGCTGGCAAAACGGCCTCTTGCTGAAGTACTACTATGTTGTCAATAGCCAGCGTGAAGACGACGGCATAACAGTTTATTCCATCCGCTCGAGAATGATGGAAGCATCCATGGAAGATCCTGCGACAGGCAGTGCTGCGAGCGCTCTCTCTAGCTATCTTTCGCTTCAACAGTCGAGCCTAGTTGATCATGGCTTCAGATATGAGATTGACCAGGGTGTTGAGATGGGCAGGGAGAGTAATATTGTAGTTGACGTTGATGTAAAAGAGTCCAAGATCGCCACGGTCAAGCTCTCAGGAACAGCTACTCCCGTAATGCGTGGTCATGTCACCATCTAATTGAGAGAGAAGACATACTGCCTATTCGCAACCGCTCTATAAACCCAGGACCCAAATCTTATCACGTATTTAACCAAAAGGGCAGTATTCCGAAACCAATCATGCGCCTGGTATGTTCTTCCGACAACATCGTAACGACTATCGTACAGTGATACAGTATTACTGCAATGTGGTATCGGCCTGAAGACATACTCGCCCCCCCAGACGAGTCTGCCCCAGCGCCGTAGTAACACTTGCGCCTCTATAATCTGAATTCTTTTTGGACCCAACGCCCCGTGCCTCTCTCATAATGATGCACCGTCAAAAACCAAGAGTTCCGCCGATAATAAAATACGTTTCTCCTATAAATTCCTCCTTGTGACGCTTTACCCAGTCCTATTCATTCCATCGCGGTTTGACTATATGACCCACGACCTATGCTCGTTGAAGCACGTCTGCAAACCTTTTGGCAACCTAGAGATAACGTTAGTATCCGTCCCGTGTAACAGCAAGCAAACATCTGACTGACCTCATGGCTCTCGTCATCGATGAAAGGAAGTTTGAAGAACCCATACTTGTCTTCATTCTTCACAAGCTCCACAACAGTGTACAACAGACCCCATGGCTGAGGCCAGAAACTAACCAGTCGCTCAAGCAGCACTCGGGTGATGTCCTCGCGGAATTCATCTTCCTCAGGATCGCCGAGATCCTTGGCAAAGATGGAAAGGAGCGCCTGACTGAAGAAGGCAGTATGGGCGCTGGGATATCGAAGTTGGTTGACTAGGCTGACAAGGATATAATACCTGGCCTCGGCAGGGAGTTCATGAATGATCAGAGAAAGAAGCGACACTTCATTCTCGTCACCAGTCAGGGACAGGTCTGCGACAGTTTGTGTTGCCTTCTCAACAGCACGGTGTCCGATATATAGAACGACAGCGTCAATAACGCTGGTGTTGGCGACCACAGGCACATGGCCGTAAGTAGATGCCTTTGGAGTGTCATGTGTCATGGCGTGTGTGATGTTGGCAACGATATCTTCATTTGGCCCATTTTGAAGTGCTTGGTCTAGGACCTTGAGAAGACTGCGAGACTGAAGTGTCACGCTGGCCTCATTCATGAGACCGGCAAAAAGGCGCATATCGTCGAACTGGATCTTGCCACCAAGCTCGTTGAACCTAGGACTCTGCTGAGGATTTGCAGCTAGGACAGCATTGATGAGCTGCGTGCAATGAGGTGGAATGCTAGAGCAAAGCTTAGCGTGATTGGCCACGACAAATTCGGGGAAGTCGTGTTGTAGAATGACGAGCAGCTTGAAGCAGGCCCGGTAGATGTCTTTGGCAACGTTAGAAACCTCGAAAACCTTCAACTGATCACCGAGAGTGTCAAGTAACTGGCAAAGCAGGTCGGAAAAGGGGCCCCAGCCAACACCATTGGGCAACTGCAGAATTGCTGGCATGAAAGCACGGTGCTGAACAAGAGACATCCAGCCGTAAACAAAGCCGGGAACATACAAGGGGTTGATTTTGAACAGTCGCCGAGCGATCCTCAGAAGAATTTCACGACGCTCATCCTCAGCCAGGCTCTCTGAAATGCCCTGGATTTCGTAAAAGAGCATGGACAGCAATCTGAAGAAAACGCGCTGGCTCAGCTGCTCTCCGCGCTTGACATGGTGGTTGACGAGAATGAGCTCAATAAGTGAAAGCACTGAGTCGATAAATGCAGGGCGAGTAGATGCTGGCTCAAAGCCCATCCCAATGAACGTTGCAATGAGCTTCGCAAGGGCATCTACCATGACATAGGCATCGGCAAGGGAACCACTGTGGACAATGTAATCGAAGCGCTCAATCGACAGGTCGATGGTGACGCGGATGAAGACAAAGAGGTCATCCCTGTTCTGCATAACCCCTTTAGCGTGCAGCTGCTGCACGAACGCCGCGACAGCCTTCTCAGAGGCGTTGTGGTTGCGGCAAAGATGGATCCATTCATCGAAAACATATTCTATCTGTTCGTGTTGGAGAGCCTGACTGTCAGCGTGAGTCGGCCGTGTCAGACCGGAGTTGCTGAGCTTTGACTTGATGCGTTGCCCAGCGGCGGAATCGGGGTCATCCGAGATCCATGACCAAGCTGCGTCCAGCGTCAGGGCAAAGTCGGCATACAAAGCAATCGGGCGGGAGTCGAGCAGCGTGAGGTCGAGCAAGTGCTCCAAAAAGTCAAGAGATCCCTCTTTGCGGGCCTGCAGTGCTTTCGACATAGCCAGATCGATGTTTCTCCAATCCAAAAGGTCCGTCCGAACCAAGGCCGCGAGCAGAGGTAGGCTCAAGAAGGTGGAGCCAGGCTGCTGGCTGAAGAGAGTTCGAACGCGACTGTTGAGAACAGGACCAGCGATCTTTCTAAGCGTCTCCAAAACATGAACTAAGCTCTCGAGAGCCAGGTTGTCGTCAACCTGTGAGAATATGAGCTGGATGATTTGTTCCGCAGCGTAAATGGAAAAATCCTCATGGTTCTGCGAAGTCTTGATGATGTGCTGGACGAGCGCGTCCACAACGTCCACAAGAGGAGATGGGCGCGGTAGATCCAGGAAATGTTCATGGGCAGACTCGGTGGCCACCCTCATGAGTTCCTGGAGTAGCTTGTTGACCCGCTCGGCTAGATTACGAACATCCATCTGGAAGCCGGGTGATCTACCGTTAGTCATTGCATTAGCAGCGGTATGAGGGGGCGCATAGGGCTGCATCTGAGCACCCAGATGCTGCTGAATTGAGGGGGTCTCTGCAGGAGTCGGAACACTAGGGATAGAACTAAATTGATCCTGTAGCACCTCGTTGGCCAAAGATCTGGTCGCATCGGATGCTGACGGGCCATGTGAAGGTGTGGGAAGTGTGGCGCTTCGTGGTTGCCTGGCGAAGTCTTCATAAATGGCCATCTGCTCAGGGTTGAGGCCATTAACATTCGGTGATAACTTGAAAGGATTAGGAATAGCCATGGCCCACCGGCTGAGGCTTGAGTCGAAGTACGGATCGTTGGGTCTCTGAAGGCGATGTCGTCGACGAGCCTCTAGCTCCGGTTCGATCATCTCCTCAATTTCAGGCACAGCCCTTTCCTCAGCCTGCTTCTCAATGATATTGCAGGCTAGGTCCAGGTTAGAGTTAACACACATAATAATTGTACCCTCGGGGAGCCCTTGAGAGAGATCGGTCGAGAGGTTTCGCATGTAGTTGGTGAAGTTGGCGCGAAGGGGTTCCTTGGACGTAACGAGGGCAAGGCTACCGGCAGTGGCTTTCACCATGCTAATAGCAGAGTTGCGTACACGGTTCTCATCAGGCTCTATAGCGAAGTCCTTGTGTATCATCTGCTGCGTAGATATGGCGGCAATTGTAACAGAGCGATCAACGACAGGCTGGATTATATCTTGTAGAGCACGGCTGAGGGCCGTACGAACAATCTCGTGAAGACGAGTAGTGCTGACTACCATCTCATTAGTCGGCGGGATAGTGACCAGAGGACCAAGATCAGGAATGGTTGGCGCAAGAGCCTGAGGTGAGAGTCCAGCACCCACACCGGAGCCGATGCCATTGAGCGATAAGTTCTCAAACGCGTCCAGTTGTTCAGGGGGAAGTGTCTCTGCCGGTTCTTCAATAATGGGTCGATTCAGAATTTCGCCCGAAGGTTCGATGCTCCTGTGATCGAGGTTCAAACCCTTGCACAAGACCTCGATCTCAAACTTGAGATTGAGTTTCAGCTCGGCATGGTGATAAAGCTCAATTAGCAAATGAATAATATCCATAAGCCATGGATTCGGGGGCCTGAAAACGGCCGATGTGGCGCCTTGAGTCAGAACTTTGCACACGAACGGGATAACAACGATGAGTCGCTTCGTATCATGAGCCTCAATCAAAAGCTGCTTGAAGGCGATGTTCTTGTGTTTGATGGGACGATCTCGTGCTAGGGTCAGAAGACCTAGCCAGCCTCCGAGATTTTTGAGGTGAGTCCTTTCCGTTGAGTTCTGCATGGTCGCCTCCGAGTTCAGCATTCGGCACACACTGATATAAGTCTCCCTCAGGACCTCACTCCAGAGAGCCTTGTCCTCAAATAGCTTAACCAGTTCGAGATAAACATGGTGGTAGTTTGGCTGCATCTTGGCGCGCTCCTCAACAAGGTGGCTAGCAAACCATTGTTGATGTCGGCGCTCCACGGTCTCTCGAAGTTCTTGACACATGGCCTGTAGTGTACCTTCGGTGATATTGTTGAGAACGAACTGGACCTTGTCCTGGGCACCCTCGTCAGGGTCTTCAAACTCAACGTCCATAGCCGGCGGATCGACGTTCAAAGCAGCAAACGCAGGCGCTTGACGCTCAACATTGGTCAGTTCATCTGAGTTTCCATTAGGGAAACCATCGCCTTGAAATCCTAGTCCATGAGGTGTTCCGGCGCCGTTACGCCCACGGGCCAACTCTTCTTCGTGCTCACGGACGACCTCCTCTGCCTTTTTGAAAACTTCCGTGTTGTGGAGTCCAGGAATCTGGCAGAGCTGCCTGCAGAACGCAGGCCATTCTCTGAAGCGAATGAACAACTGCATCAGTGCCTGAAGGCCAAACTTGTACATAGGTTCATCAGGAGAATGATCCCTCACAGCTTCCAAAATCATGCCCAGTCCAATTTGAAGAGGCAAGTTTGAAACGAGCTTATGCGAAATGATGCCACCGAATAGAACTGCGGTTGTTGCAAGAGCTTCCAGAGGATAGTCGGCATAGTGAGAATACTCATCGAAGAGCCCATGGATCATACATGCGAAAACATCCTGATCCAAAGGATCCCTGGAATGCTTATAGCGATCTAAGACCTCGACTATATTGCGAACCTGCACTTCATCACTATACATCTTCTTGTAATGTTCCTCCATCCTGGTATTGGCGGTCGGAGACAGGAGATTCCCATCCCTTCCATTGGCGTCGATGACATCGTCGTAACCCTCGCTGTAGTTGATAAGTCGGGGGTAAGCAATAATACAAGCGCGCTGAACC